AGCCAGAGCCTCTCAAACCCATCACCTACTCTTCTTCCTCTCTCCGTTTCCCATTAACGCCTCTTTCTCCTCACCAGCCACCTCCTTTCGCGCCGCCGCCGCGCCCAAATCCGACCCTGCCCGCTTCTTCTTGCCCTTAGATTTCCGCCATTTCAGGAAAATCTGATAGCTCAATCCAGCAAACACCATCCCCACACCTGCCCACTGCTGCCCTGTCAGCGGATTTCCATTCCACACAGCCGAGATGAGAATACTCATGAATTTCCGGGTGGTGGTGATGGTCGTGTTCACCAGCGCGCCGAATTTGTTGATGGTCAGGAAAATAAAATTCTGCCCGACGGCGCCGCAGAGGCAGAAGAGGAAAACGTCCAGGGCAGCTTCGGGGTGCGTGCGGCAGAAGTCGAGGGCTGCCGTGCCCCCGCCGCCCGGCCAGGCGAACATGTAGAGAGTCATGTAGAGCGTGCCCCATATGTTCATGCCCAGCATCAGATGGTACGTGGCTGTGAAGGGATACCTGCAAGGGGTTTGGGGCATAAGGGAAGGGATGTGGGTATAAGGTGAATGGAAGACACGGGAATCGAGGCTCAGCCATTCTTTCTCAGCCATGAGACGTCTCCAGCTCAGGGAAACTCTAGGGTGCCGCAGAGGCAGAAGAGCAGCACGTCCAGGGCAGCTTCGGGGTGCATGCGGCTAAAGTCGATGGCTGCCGTACCGCCGCCGCCCGGCCAGGCGAACATGTAGAGAGCCATGTAGAGCGTGCCCCATATGTTCATGCCCAGCATGAGGTGGTACGTGGCTGTGAACGGGTACCTGGGAGGGGGTTGGGGCAATGGGGTTGATAAAGGCAATGGAGCGATGGGGGGAATCAGAAATGGACACGTGTGAACATGTAGAGAGCCATGTAGAGAGCCATGTAGAGCGTGCCCCATGTTGGCGGTGTTTTTGAGGGGCCTCTGAAACCAACTCACTTGGCCATGATGCAGTCTTGAGTGGCGTTGGTGAATCCGTCCAGTCCCAGGTTGAGGAAGCAGAGCGTGTAGCCCAGGGGCGCGTTGGGGCTCGTGACCTTTGAGTTGACTCAGATGTAGCCTACAATGTTCAACTCACTTGACAAGGCACCTCAAGAACCAACTCACTTGGCGGTGATTGAGTCCTGAGTGGCGTTGGTGAATCCGTCCAGTCCCAGGTTGAGGAAGCAGAGCGTGTAGCCCAGTGGTGCATTGGGGCTGGCGAGCTTGCTCATCGCCTTGCTGGAGCCCTGTGGGGGGGAGAGTGGGGAGGGAGAGTCGGCAGGGAGGGGAGTGGGGCAGGGAAGGGGGAGGAAGTGAAGGTGGGGAAGCAGAGCGTGCACCCAAGGGCGCATTGGGGCTGGCGAGCTTGCTCATCGCCTTGCTGGAGCTCTGAGGGAGGGAGGGGAGGGAGGAGAGTGTGTTCTGTGTGTGTGAAAGATGTACAGAATCCTGAGCTTCAGGGTTTTCTGAGACGTCTCAAAAACCTTGACCTTCAATGTTGTTCAGTGACACTGCTTACCAGGGAAACATGGGTGTTGAAAAGGAAACAGCCCACTAAGCACGAGTGCTGAAACGGAAACAACTCACCTTGAAGAGGGCGAACATGGAAACTCCCCCGGCGACAAGCAAAGTGCAGATGTACTCTGGAATGGTATAGCGCACCCCATAGATGATGGCGCCTGCTAGCATCACTGGGTGTATGCAAGAGAGTGTTTGGGAGTGTCCATAATGTAAACAGGAGGGGGAGAGGGAGGGAAGAAGACGTGTAGCGACTCAGATGTACTCTGGAATGGTGTAGCGCAACCCATAGATGATGGCGCCTGCTAGCATCACTGGGAGCGTGTGAGAGAGTGTGTGAGAGAGTGTGTGGGAGTGCATGGGAGTGTGTGTAAGCAGGAAGGACAGAGGGAGAAAAGGAGACATGTATTGACTCAGAAGTACTCTGGAATGGTGTAGCGCAACCCATATATGATGGTCCCTGCTAGCATCACTGGGAGTGTGCGAAAGAGTGTGCGAGAGAGTGTGTGGAAAGGTATACGAGTGTTAGGGGGTGCGTAGGAGTGTAAAGGATTGTTGGGAGTGTATGCGAGTGGCACACTCAGATGTTTCCCGAAAAGCAGGGACGCAGAAGCGCACCCTGTATAAAACTGATTCTCACAACTATCCACAAATGAGTGGTGGGCACATACCTGGAATCATCTTGGATGACTTGGCCAGGACCTGGTCGAAAACACGGAAAAGGGACACATATGAAGAGTGACAGGAGGAATGCAGTGAAAAATACATTAAAGGGAGATCCACGGAAGGTGCGCCAGGGTGGGAGTAGTAGGAGGAGGATGGGTGCTGCAGGTTGCATGAAATCGAACAAGGAAAAAAAATGCAGTGCAACCGGGCAGGGTAGGGGATGTGCTTGAGTATTCGATGCAACGTTGAATCGAGTACTCAAATACATCCCCTACCCTGATCGAAAATAATAATAATAATAATAATCATAATAATAATAATATAATATAATTTAAAAAAAAAGGGGGAGGGGGGGGGGGGTCGCACAGGGTAATGGATACACAGGGTAACGTGACACACCTGGGCGGGGTAAGAGATGTATTTAAGAGCGATGAGGCCGCATGCCGGGCCGATGGTGTTAGTAACCCCGGGCAGCCAGTAGGACAGCAGCGGCGGCTGCACTGTCATGTTGGTGCCCAGGATGTTGAGCACTGGTGGGGGGTTGGAAGGGGGGCAGGGAGGCGGAAAAGGCAAACGAAAGGAAAGTGAGAGGCGAGTAGGAGGGTGAGAGGAATAAAAGGGACCCAGCGGGACAGCAGCGGCGGCTGCACTGTCATGTTGGTGCCCAGGATGTTGAGCACTGGTGGGGGGTTGGGTGGAGGGAGGTGGGAGGAGAAAAAGCGATATTATAAGGGGATGCGGGTGGAAGGGGTAGGACAGCAGCAGTGGCGGCTGAACTGTCATGTTGGTGCCCAGGATGTTGAGTGCTGGTGGGGGGAGGCGGGGAGATGTGGCGGAGGAGGAGCGAGTGAGAGGAGAGTGAGAGGCGAGTGAGAGGTGAGTGAGAAACGAGTGAGAGGCGAGTGAGAGGCGAGTGAGAAACGAGTGAGAAACGAGTGAGAAACGAGTGAGAAACGAGTGAGAGGCGAGTGAGAGGTGAGTGAGAAACGAGTGAGAGGCGAGTGAGAGGCGAGTGAGAGGCGAGTGAGAGGTGAGTGAGAAACGAGTGAGAGGCGAGTGAGAGGCGAGTGAGAAACGAGTGAGAGGCGAGTGAGAGGCGAGTGAGAGGCGAGTGAGAGGCGAGTGAGAGGCGAGTGAGAGGATGTAATTAAAAGTTATAACAGCGGATCGGTAGGGCAGGTGGGAACGCACTGAGGAAGGCGACGATGGAGCAGACGAGGCTCTGCGCGAGGTTGAGGAAAGCCAAGTTGAGAGAGAGGGAGGGGAAGAGAGAGGGAGAAAGAGGGAGAGGGAGAAAGAGGGAGAGGGAGGGAGCTAGAGTGGGGGGCGGGTACGCAACGCACTGAGGAAGGCGACGATGGAGCAGACGAGGCTCTGCGCGAGGTTGAGGAAAGCCAAGTTGAGAGAGAGGGAGGTAGAGAGGAAGGGGGAGAGTGAGGGAGAGCGGTAGTGAGGGAGGTGGGTAGGTATGCGACGCACTGAGGAAGGCGACGATGGAGCAGACGAGGCTCTGCGAGAGAGAGAGAGAGAGAGAGGGAGGTAGAGAGGGAGGGGGAGAGTGAGGGAGAGCGGTAGTGAGGGAGGTGGGTAGGTATGCGACGCACTGAGGAAGGCGACGATGGAGCAGACGAGGCTCTGCGCGAGGTTGAGGAACGCCAGGTGCTCGAACCGCCTGTTGTCCGGCGCGAACCGCTTCGTGGAGCTGAGGGGGATGAGGGAGGGAGGGAAGGAGGGAGGGAGGAAGAAGGCAAAGAGAAGGATTCACTTCAGATCACCGACTGCGAACTGCGAACTGCGGAAAAAACGGGTTTTTTATTATATTCTTGATGTATCAACCAAGGAAGCCGCCTGATTGAGCTAAGTAAGCCGTGAAATGAACGCATCGCGCACGAAGTCGACGAGGCTTTCGGATCGCAGTGCGCGATTGTTACTCGTGCTGAATTTGACACTCGCTGTGCGAAAAAAACTGTCTTATTCGCGAAAGGAGGTAACGACGAACTCTCGGGAAGCTCGATGGTCATGACAACCATGCGTGAACTTTCATAATCAACAGTCCTACGGTGTCGAACGGCTAAAAACTACCAGATTCAGCCGTTTGTAAGTATCGAACAACTGAGAAGTTTCAGATTGAGAGAGGACAATTACAGATTCTCTTGCACGACGCCTTGCGTGAGGTACGCCGCCCAGATGCCGGAGACGCAGACGGCGAGAAGCAAGGCGCGTTTCCATGCGGCGGTCGATCCATGGCCCAGATGGCCGGCGGCAGCCATGGCTGATCGGCGAAATCCGCGATGCTTTCTTTTGATCAGCGGATCCCAAGGCGAATGCCGAGTGCTATGACGCACTACTGTCAACTAGCAGCAAATCGACACTTGGACGTCTGGATGGTGTAGTCGGTTATCACGCCAGTCTCACACACTGGAGGTCTCCGGTTCGATTCCGGGTTCAGACAACGTTTTCGTCTTTAGAAATGGCCGTTTTCATACTAGTGCTAGGTGCGTTGTGCTGAGGGCGAAGCCCAAGTGCGGTTGGAAAAGGTTTGGACTTTCAGAAAGGTCCATTCAGAAAGCAAAACGTTTCCTGCGAACTTTATTCTACCCACCCTGATCACTTCTTGTTGCAACTGGGATTGACTGAAAGTGAAACAGCCACATCATTGCTTCTTATGGCAATGATTCTGCACTCAAGCTTCTGCATCTCCATACGGTAGCTTTCATATAAAGACACCCCCGGTATTTGTAGTACGCATGCAAGGTATGAAGTTCATTTTATGAACAGATGATCCAGCCTTCCGTTGCTTCAGAATCAGGCAGCAGCAGAGGCCACATAATCAATCGCTTCCTTGCAAATGCAGGTCATGCTGGCTTCAGGACCATACACCTGTGAACATGCTCCCATGAGATCCATGGGGGGAGAAAAAGAACAGCCGGAGGGGGAGATAAAGTGGGTTGCATGCACAAGTGGGCCTGATCAGATTGCAAGCACATGGCGACCCCAATTCCAAGCCCCGTTGCCAAGTTCATTCCTTGCATCTGTGACAAAGCATTACACCACGCTAGTTCTACTCCACACACACCTGGATGGGAATGCCAATCTCAGCGCCAAGCTCGCGCATCTTCTCAAGCCCCTTGAGGTAGTTGGGCCCTCCACGGCGTACGAATATGCGCACCTTGGCATCCTTGATCTGCCGCTCCTGGTGGAGGAGGGACAAGGGAGGGTGGGACATGGGGTATGGGCATCAAAAGTGGGACACCCGCGAAGATACTCATTTTGATGTCCTTGATTTGCTTCTCCTGGCAGGACAGACAAGGTACGGCGGGTGGTATGGTCTCTATGGTACCTTATGATTCACCCGTGAGAATTTTTTCCTTTTCATCTTCTTACCTTCTCTCGGAGTGCCCGAATGATGCCGGAAAACGTCTTGGCCACGTCTGTGAAGTTGGCGATGCCTCCACCAATCAGCAGCGCTCGTGGACGGCCATCGGGATTGGCTGTGGCGCACTGAAGATGAAGAGGAAGTGGGGGGTAGGGTGGAAAAGGTGGGGGGAAGGAGGGGATAGCGGGAAAGGGGAGGGAGGGTGGTGTGAAGGGGAGGAGGAGAGGCGCATGGTAAGCAGCAGTGTTAAAAAGTAACTTCTGATATTTTGTATAGCTTGAGCATGCATAGAGATGCTTTCATTCACTGCTTCAAGGCAGGCAGCGGTGTGAGGAAGCGGCAGAGGAACAGCTGCTGTGGATCAACAACTGTAAACCATCAAATGCTAAATCACGTCAATAGAAATTTGAAGACTCACGTCAATCAAGATACGAGCATACTGCAGCGTCTCCTCCTCATTTGGCGCTCCACTGTACTCCGCATAGTTGCCCAGCTCCTGTGCGTAGCCCAAGTCACCAACCTGCACAGACGCACGGCAAGGCAGAGAGCGGATGAATTAGGGGACAGTGCAAAGGCAAGATACAAGTGCAAGCTGTGCAGGAGCAGACGAAAAGGGGTATGGAAAACGAAAAAGAAAAGCGGGACAGTAGCGTACAGTGTCAGCATAGATGACGGACGCCCCTCCTCCTGCCACCATGGTCCAGATCCGCCCCTTGGGGTTCAGAATGGTCAGCTTGAGCGAGGCCCCCGTCTGATGGCGGAGAGGGGGGAGTGACGAAACGCGATAAGGGAAGAAGTACGGATATGGCTGAGTTTAGCGAACAGAGGAGATGAGGGAAAGGAGAAAAGGGGTGGAACAGTCTCAATGGAGGAAGAGAGGGGGAACACAGCGGAGATGGGAAGGGAGAGAGGGGTAGAAAAATGGAGCTGGGAAATTCTAGGATGGTTTGAGAAGGCATGGCAGACCCTGGCAGACCCTACACGACATTGACAGGCACCACCCACAGTTACACTGACAATCCAACAGTCACACTGACAGCCCCATAGCCACACCACACATACTATACACAGGTAACCTCCCCATGCTCACCTTCTCATCCATCTCGTGAATCCTCTCCTCTGATGGTGTCATGGTGCGGCCAAAGGGGAGAGGGAACTCCACGTCTCCCCACCTGCGCCCGTGTGCAGTGCAGGGGAGGCGAGAGAGGCAGGAATTACTTTGATCCAACTCAAAACAGCACTACTGAGTTGCAAGGCAGAGCAGAGTGAACGTACTTCTGGAAGTGCTTGAACTGTGCCGTGTCGTCAAGCTCCCCGCGCATGTCGAGAGGAAAGGGCTCCCCGTTGACCACAATGAAGGGGTTCATTTCGATCAGCGTGAAGTCCAGGTCTGAAGAGCGGGGAGGGGGGGGGGGGGGGGGTGGGGGGGGAGGGGGGTTGGGTGGTGGTGGGGAATGGTAAGGGGGGGAAGGGGGAAGGGGATGTACGGGAACATTGGCTATACATAGCTGGCTCCCCGTCGATGACAATGGTGAAATCCGGGTCCGGTGAAGGCGGGTGAAATGGATTGACAGGGTGAGGAATATAATACGAGTAAAGCATGAAAGGATGGTACCTTTGAAGACAGCGAACACGCCTTTGATGAACTTCTCCATGTTCTCTCGCACCTGCATAGGGGCCAGGGAACACAGATCGGACGCAGAGGTGAGAAGAGGAGTGGCTCCTTACTTGCTATGGAGTCATAGTTAAGGAGAGAGCGAGGGCGAGGGAAGGAGAGAGTGAGGGCGGGCGTGAAGTGGGACAAGAGATGGAGGGAGAGAGCAACGGCATGGACTTCAAGAGAATAAAGGCCGTGATCAAAGAGGAAGGGGCAGGAAGGGAACGAGAGAGAGACAGGGGACGCACCTCGAGCGGCAGGGTGGCAATGAGCGGCGCACAGAGCTCTGATGTGAGCTCGGACTCTGTGGGCACGAAGATGGTCTTCACCTGCCAGCCAGCCGCGGACAGTCATGGCACAAACACCGCATGGCATGGCATGGCACACACCAAGTAACATGGTAGCATACACACACACCACGGAGGTGCACCCCATAACGGCACATGGCATATGAGCACACCACACCCCAGTACAGCACAAGCCATGACAACACGCACGCATTAACAGCACACGCCATAAAAGCACACATCATATAAGCACACATAACAGCAGCATAACACGTGAAATGTCTAGGAAAAAAAGAACTCCTGAACAGTCCTCGTTATCCTAGCTATTTCCATCATCTTGTCACAGTTCTCCTCCTTTTCACCCTCCCTCCTCACCGCTTTCCGCCCATCTCACATCATCCCACTTGTAACCCCATCCAACCGTCTTCCCCCCTGCTCACCTTGTCCCAGTTCTCCTCGATGTTGACGCCGCCGCACTCAGAGAAGCTCACGTCGCAGCCCAGGCGCTTGGAGGTGATGGAGAGGTAGTACTCCTCCTTGTGCGGGATGAACGGCTCCACTATGAACGTCGTGATGGGTCCCTTGGATTGTCCCATCTCCACCTGCAAGTGAGTCAGAAGAGAATAACAATAACAACGAGAATACTTTTGAGTGTGCGAGAAATGCGTGACGCGATGGAGCCATCAGATGGCCTTATATCAACCCTCAGGCGGGAGATTTGAGTCGTTGATAGGTGATGCTATTCAACTAGCCATTCATGAGAACACGCCTTGCCGGAGCGGAGCAAGCTCAATGCCGCTTAGACGCACTGAGCACAGGCGGTTACCTCCTTGCCGAGCTTGCTCTTAACGAATGCCTCCACTCCTGCGAAGTCCAGGTCGAGAGCCACCTGCACGAAAGGGGATACGAGAAAGAAAGAAGCAGTTGATACTTAGAGGATGTTGCTCGAGTCAACCCAATATGCACTCTAGCAAAATCCACGTCAAAAGGCACGTGAGAGAGGAAACGGCGAAGGATCATCCCAAGCAGCAGGCCATTACGATGTCTTGCCACGCGTGAAGACTTCTGAGTCGCCTCAAAGCGGTTTCAAATGACAATAACATGACTCCTCAACAGAAAATGGCTCCCCAACACAGGATAGCTCACCAGCACATATGGCTCACCAGGCCGCTCTTGCCTCGCTTGCCGAACAGCATGTCCGGCTTCACCACCATGCGCGTGCTGTTCATCCATGGCTGCTCGTTCGCGAGCTTCGCGAAATCCGTCTCCGATGTGATCTATTGAGACCGAATACGATGGACATTGCAGAAAAAAATCAAGGAAATTAGTTTCAGCTGGTTTGAAGTCACGTTTGGAGATTTTTGGAGTGAACCGAACAGTAGTGATGTGCCTCGTTGGCAACTGCGGTTCACGGCGAAGGTCCGCAACAAAAGTACACGTGAGAGCCAAATGGTGCTCTCACCTGGACGGAGTTGATAGTCAGATCGATTCCGGCTAGGCGCTTCAGGTGCTCCTTCAGGAGGCGCTTGGAGTCGTACTCTCGGATCTTTTTCCGGGCCATATTCGGTTCTGTGTAGAAAAAAGCGAGAGGAAACAAACGACCAACGGATGGCGATGATTACAGCGTGGACAAGACAACTACATCTTTCCACCCAAATGGCGTGGTTGAAGAGAGAAATCAGTCGGACAGATGCAGTCGCTGAATATACTCGACGGCATCCATTCCCTACCTCAACGAATGACAGCAAAGCAGCACCTGCTCTGACGTGAAAAAAACAGGCAGGCGTCAGGAAGAGAAAGCTACTGGCGAATCAGGTGCACCAGACTATTCCTTCCTGGTTCTAGCAAATGAGGTTGCTGGGCTGAACTGAATGCGTCTGGTGCTGCTGAGCTCTCATATCAACCCTGAAATCCAAATTCGAAACACCTCACAAATCTCAACCAACTTCAGCCTGCCTCGGTGGATGTTGTCGCGTGGCGGGGTTCCCGAGGGCGACAGTGGCGGACATCAAAAATTGCGGAACGGAGTTCCCAAGAATTGCCACTGGCTTTCAGTGAATTCCCAAGAAAATCGCCGGGCAGTTCTGGGCTTCCCCCCAGACTCCCGCCTAAAGGCGCAGATTCACCCCGATACTGTTTCCGCGCCAAGGTGTGGGGGAGTGAGGTGGGGCAGTTCGAGTTGTTGCTGACGTTACTCGGGCCCAGATCAACAGCGCCACACCTGTCACGTCGTCCCGTGGCAGCACGCAGTTGGTGCTGGGCCCTCACTCTCACACAAGTGGTCCCACCACCAGCCAACAGTCAACTCATTGCAAAACACTAACATTATACAGATTTACATATTCATAATGTTCAACAAAACACCACTATTGTATAGCTCAACACAAAAGGCATTGCATACTACGAGTTACTTAGGGTCACCTGCCAGCCGCTTGATGTCCTCTATATTGTACACCCCTGCAATTGAGTCATCGACAACGGCTCGCACCGCTACAGATGCAAGATCAGCAACATCTACAGGCGGCGCTAGAAGCAGGTCAGAGGCTGGCAAAGGGGAAAGCAGCTTTGTAATATCCTTGGTGGCTGAGAGCAGCTTCTCCAATGGCTGGCCAATCAGATCAAGCGGAACCTCCACACCCCCGGTTACCCGGCGTTTCCCATAGATAAATCCAGGCCGCAACACAACTCCTGTCATTTTGGATGAGGAAAAAGGTTTGACAAATAACACGAGTGGGGAGACGGAGAGAGATTGATTGCATAGCATAGAAGTGTGAAAAAAGGAGGTGCGTTCCACCTAAGCTAGCAAGGAATCACAGCATGATAACAGCAAAGGATCATGGTTAGAAGCCCGAAAACAAAGAGAGGAAATGGAGCCTGTCAAGATCAAATGAGCTCACGGAAATAGGGAGGGATGGAATGGTTAACAGAGATGGAAGGAAAGAGCAAGAACCACACCTGTATTGGGAAAGGCGTCAAGAACCGCAGTCTCTGCTCTTTTCTTGCCATTGAAGTATCCATTCTCCTTGGCAAAGTCGGGCAGGTTGTAATCATGCACCGACACAAACACAAACTTGCGCACGCCAGAGTCTTTAGCAGCGTCCACCGCAACCACTGTAGCATCTCCGTTGATCCGTTCCATCTGCTCGTCTGTGCCGAATCCCCCAATGCAGGACACCACTACAGTCACATCCTTCAGAAGTACGGGCCAGTTGGCAGAGAACACGTCACCAGTCTCCCATATCACACTGTTCGCCCACGTCTCGTTGGAGATGGAGGATCGGCCAGACCTGAAGGAGGTTCGGATGGCAGATTTGGTTGAAGCAAAAAGGGGTAGGGAGGGGGGTTGACAGATAGGAGACGGGTGGTCAATTGATGGGGTTGTCATAAAGGAATCCTTAAATGTCTGACAATGGTGGCAGAAACGACTGACAGTCAGCATTTGCAACGGTCAGGTATGCTGAGGTCCAAAGGCTGACCATTTCAATTCCCTGACAGCCAATTTTCACCGCACAGCAGAGCCTACAAACCCAGCTACTACCACGCACCAGCAAGTAGCTTTCTTTATAATCTCAAATAGACAAATACGCACTTGCTCAGGCTGACCACGTCAATGCCTTGTCAGCCGCTGCCTTTGCCACAGATGAGCCCACAAACCCACTCCCTCCGAGCACCACGGGGGAAAATCGCTAAAGTGATTTCCACGCACCTGCTCAGGCTGACCACGTCAATGCCTCTGTCAGCCGCTGCCTTTGCCACAGCGGAGCCCACGAACCCACTCCCTCCGAGCACCAGCACCTGGGGGAGTTTGAAGGCAAAAATATTAAGGGAGTGGAAGAGTTGGTTTGAGGACAGTGGAGGGAATGTGGGAGGATTTTTTTAGATAGAACCTTTCTCTCAAGGGTTGGGCATTGCCTTACCGCTCTTGGCATTGCCTTACCGCTCTTAGCATTGTCTTGCCGCTCTTGGCATTGCCTTACCGCTCTTGGCATTGTGCTACCGCCCTTGGCATTGCTCACCGCTCTCAGCATTACCTTAACGCTCTTGGCATTGCCTTACCGCTCTTCGTATTGCCTTACCGCTTTAAGCATTGCCCTACCGCTCTTGGCATTTCCCCCCCTGCGCCATACTCATCTCAGCATTGGCTGGAACTCACCGTTCAACCGTCTCGGTCCCCTCGCCTTCACTCTCCCCCGCCTTCTCATTCCCTTACCTTCACGTTCGCTCACCTTCTGATTCCTTCACGTCCTCATTCCCCTACCCCTCGCCTTCTCGTGCACTCATCCTCTCATTAGCTCTTTCTTCTCATTCATTCATCTTCTCATCTTTTCCGTCCTCACCTTCTCGTTCTTGATCTCGGCCTCCTCGTCGATCGCCGCATCTCCCGCCTCTGCCGCCGCTGCAGTGATCGCAAGTCGAGCCGTTCGTTTGTGCGACTTCGATGTAGTCACGTATGACCTGCAAATTGAGCGGGACAAAAATGGATGTCTTAGAGGGAAGCACAAAGGAACAAAAAATAATGGTAACGAATATATCTCTCCACAGTGTTACTGTAGAGCGTTGAATAAGGTGAAAAGGACCCACAATGGTGAGCTACGCGTTGTCTCCACGGCTTGCCTCGACGAAGGCCCGTGGCTAGTAACCCGCACGAACCCATTGCGACGGAGAGATACGCTAGTCGGAGGACATTGCTGCGAAACAGCAGCGAACGTCGCGAAAGTTGACGCGGGCTGAACCAACAGCGTGGCAGAAGACGCCATAGGAAAGGGGTCCTGGGATCGTCCAGTTTTCTCGTGGAACGGAAATGGGGGAAGAAATCCTGCAGGGAAAGGATGTGTATGTTGAATGGGCGAATGGTGTGGGAAGCAGGGCTTCAATCGGGCAGCTTGCAGTAGGGTTGTACTTGTTATTAGCGCAAAGTACTTCTAGAAGCTTGTTTTAAAGGAGCCGAAGTTTCTAGTGTATCATTAGCTCTTCAGATACAATTTTGTACTCATAAAAAACAACAGCAGCAGACTTCCTACAAGCAAAACAGATTATCAGTGGCCGAGCCTATAATCAATCTGACATCTCCTACTTGGCCGAACAGCAATTTTGTTAAGCTCTTGCAAATCGAATGGGTGTGTGAAATGAAGTGCTTATGCGGTCAGATCCTATGCATATGGCTTGTCCTGCATGGCCCAGTCAAAGATCTGCTCGTATTGCTGTGCCGCCCTGTTCCACGACATGTCCTGAGTCATGCCCCTCTGAATCAGGCCTTGCCACGAGTCCTTGTACTCGCGGAATGTCTGGATGGCCGTCCACAGTGCCTGTACGTATGACAATAGGGAAACAAATGGAAGAAAGGAAAGAGCACAGAAGAACAGAACAAAGAAACAGGAAAGCACAATGTTAGGGGTGATGAGACAGTGTTCTGCATGGCTGGTCTGTAGAGAGAAGCACAGGTAGTACCAAATACATGGAAACACGATACTGGCCATTACTGGCCGGAAAATAACGGAAGAAAGTAGGGGGGGGAACAGCAGAGAGAGCCGTTTTCCTAACCGTCGATTCCAACCTTCCATCCATCCCAATTGTCCACCCCCATGTCAATCCCAACCATCCACCCCATCATGGCTTCCTTGGTGAGAGGGGAGAATGACCACCCCGTGCCGGTGGCAAACGGGTTAAATCATCCACCGTGTCCCTCAGCCCGAACGTCGCGTTTTAAATCAGCTCTCAACGTATTTCATCCGTTCATCCCAACCAACCAACCCATCCATCCATCCCAACCGTCAATCCCAACCTTCGAAGCACACAAACCAAATGTTTTAGGAACGTACCCCCATCATGGCTTCCTTGGTGAGCGGGGAGAAGGACCACCCTGTGCCGGCCCCCGCTCCCCCGTTGGCAAACGGGTTGAAATCCTCCACCGTGTCCCTCAGCCCGCCCTTGGTGTTTCAAATCAACTACTAATAATCTCAACCATTCATCTTCCATCCATCCCAACCGCCCATCCAAACCGTCAATCCCAACAAAGCAAATTGAAAACGCACCCCCATCATGGCTTCCTTGGTGAGGGGGGAGAAGGACCACCCAGTGCCGGCTCCCGCACCCCCGTTGGCAAACGGGTTGAAATCCTCCACCGTGTCCCTCAGCCCGCCTGTTGCGTGCACCACTGGCACCGTTCCGTACCGCATTGCATACAGCTGGTTCAGCCCGCACGGCTCAAAGCGCGACGGCATGAGGAGAATGTCGCAGCTGGCATGGGAAGCAGGCAGAGGAGTGGGGGATGAGACGAAAGGCGAGAAGTGGGGGAGGGGGGATGGAAGGGGGGAAAGGGAGAGTGAAAGGTTAGAAAACGAGGGGGTTTGAAAGGTGGGTGTATACGTCCTTGCACGGATCAAAGCGCGACGGCATGAGGACAATATCGCAGCTGGCAGGGGAAGCAGGCAGGAAATGAGGGAGCAGACGGGGAAGGCGCAGAGCAGGGGAGGGGGGATGGAAGTGGGAAACGTGGAGAGAGAAAGCTTTGGAAAAAGCACAACGACATGAGGAGAATGTCACAGCTGGCATGGCAGGCAGGCAGAGGAGAGGGAAGTCGGGAAGCAGGAGGTGAGGGGAGGTGATGCGATGTAAGAAGTTCAATTCAAGCAACCCTGCGCCTATCCCAGGCCTACCCAGCAGTGATGCAGTGGGCCAAGGGCACGGAGAAGCCCACCCCAACCTTGCAGCCGCCCAACTTCTGAGCCACCCCGCCTCAGAACTTGTGCTTAAGACCCTCATTTCAAGCAACCCTGCACCTATCCCAGCCTCACCCGGCAGTGACGTGGTGAGCCATGGGCACGGAGAAGCCCACCCAGCCTCGGGATTGTGCGTGCTCTAATCTCAGCCGTCTGTTCATGATCACAAAACCACCATGTACTCATTCCAACCTTACCCGGCAGTGATGAGGTGAGCCATGGGCATGGAGAAGCCCACCCAGCCTCAGGACTGTCTGTGTACTAACCTCGGCCATCTGTTCAGAATCTCAAAACTACAATGTACTTATTCCAGCCTTACCCGGCAGTGATGCGGTGGGCCATGGGCACGGAGAAGCCCACCCAGCCTCGGAACTTGTCGGGGTAAGCGCTCTCTGCCCACTTCATCCATGCCTCTAGGTCGGGATCCCCACTGCCCAGCATCACCTGTCATTGCACAAGGGGGGAGGAAGATCAGGGAGAGGAAGGGAGAGCAGGGAGGAGAGGGGTGGAAGGTTAGAGCAATCACTCTCAGCCCACTTCATCCATGCCTCCAGGTCCGGATCCCCACTGCCCAGCATCACCTGGGAGAGGACAGGGGAAGCAGGGAGAGGAAGGGCGAGCAGGGATGGTAGAAGAAAAAAGATAAGTGGGAGAATAAAGTGCGTGACTTTATGAGAAACCCTAACCTCCTTTAGAACTTATCGAGCAAAGCACCCTCCACGTAATTCATCCACACCAACGTAACTACCACCTTGGTGTCATTACGACCCCACAAACCCCCACTCCCTTCCCCTCACAACGCCCCATCAGCCTATGCACTCACAAACTGCACGTTGTCAGTCATCAGCTCAGGCAGTGCGGCTTGAATCACGTCTGGGCCCTTCGTGCCACTACAACCCCTCTTCCCATCACCACACAACGCCCCATCAGTCTATGCACTCACAAACTGCACGTTGTCTGTCATCAGCTCAGGCAGCGCTGCTTGAATCACGTCCGGGCCCTTCTGCCAGTCCAGGCGCCCGATGAAGCCAATCTGATACGAAGGTACACGAGAGACAAGAGAGGAACAGAGGGAAAAAAACATGGGAAGGGTGGGGAGGCACGGGCCGTAGCAGAGTCAAGAAACAGGCTGCTTGAATCACGTCCGGCCCCTTCTGCCAGTCCAGACGCCCGATGAAGCCAATCTGGTGGAAAGGAACACAAGATAAGAGACACACACAGTGGAAAGAGAAGGGACTCTGGGCCTCGAGAAGAGCTGACTCTGATAGGGCCACGAGGGAGGAACGAATGGACAAGAGAGAGAAAGGCGCGGAGAGACTCAGGGCAGGGCACAACTCACCAGGGGCACCTCAGGGCGCACGGCGAGACCCAGCTCCTTCTGCAGCGCCAGGGTAACCGAGTGGACACACATAAAACTGTATAGCGTTTTACAAGGCAGAGCACAACTCACCAGGGGCACCTCAGGGCGCACGGCGAGACCCAGCTCCTTCTGCAGCGCTGCCTTGCACTCCGCCTTGCCCTCCAAGTCCTCTGCTGTGCGAGTCAGCAGTGAGCGGCTGTATGCCTCGAGAGTATACACATACATGGATATACAGAGGCTTACAAGACGCATCACAACTCACCAAAGGCACCTCAGGGCGCACGGCGAGACCCAGCTCCTTCTGCAGTGCTGCCTTGCACTCCGCCTTGCCCTCCAGGTCCTCTGCTGTGAACTGTGAGGGGATGTGCTTGTCCGTGGCTGGGTTCCAGTCGACTGTGTCAATGCCATTCGTTACGCCTGTTGGGAAGAGTGGGAGAGGGGGAAGGAAGGCCGACGGGGTTTGTCGAGTGACATGAGGTCCTCTGCTGTGAACTGTGAGGGAATGTGCTTGTCCGTGGCTGGATTCCAGTCGACTGTGTCAATGCCGTTGGTCACTCCTGCAGGGAAAAGAGATGCGAAGGGGAGCGGGGAACGGGGAGGGGAGGGAGACGGGTGAGCGAGGGGGCGTTGCAAGTGACCCTCTGCTCAGGTGTGAACTGCAACAGAATGTGTCACTGTACATTCTGACACTGCATGTCAGTGTCTGTTTTGAAGAGGTCAAGACTACAACAGATTACACAAGCTTCCCTCCTCTCACATGCACCACTGAGCACACAACACCCCACAAGCACCACCACCCTCCAAACACCCCCCAAGCATCCCCCAATCAACCCTAAGCACCACCACTCCCCATGTACGCACCATTGAGCACGATGCTTCTTCCTCTCAGTAGCCCATCCAGGCCCCATCCGCCCTCGCCTGTCGTGATCTCCCATGCATACCCCTGCAGCACGTCAAGAAAAGAAGGAATGAGAAAGGAAGCGTGTGAGGCAACAGCTGGAAGAGCAGAAATATACTAAAATCCCCCCTTGTTGGAGTAGCCCAGGGCAGGGTAACAGAGCGGCCCGTGGGGGAAAAGGGAGGAGAAAGGGGAAAGGGGGGGGAGAAAGGAGGGGGAGAAAGGAGGGGGAACATCGAAAGGGAGGAGAGAAGAGTCAAACCCACCCATCCAGGCACCCACCTGGCTGACGGTGAGAACACGGCCGGCAGTGACAATGGCCCCCTTGAGGTTGACTGCCACGCGCCCGACCACCCACCCACCTACCCAGCCACCCACCCATCCATCCATCTAATTGACGCACCTGGCTGACGGTGAGAACACGGTCAGCAGTGACAATCGCGCCCTTGAGGATGTTGACTGCCTCGCCCTTGTCCAACGCGTGCTTCCTCGCCCACTCGGGAAACACCCACTCCAGCGCCCCGTACCACTCCCCCGGCACGCCCAGGCTGCCGAAGGTGTATGCGGGCTCAACTCCCTGGTGGGCCAGGTTGTGAATGGCGATGATGGTGCGCGCGTCCTTGTAGACTCCATAACGGCGGTACTTGGATGCCACGAGGCTGTGTGCACGCATGAGGGGAAGGGGAGGGGGAGGAATGAGGGGCAGGTAACGTCAATGCGGGCTCAACGCCCTGATGGGCCAGGTTGTGATGTGAATGGCAATGATGGTGCGTGCGTCCTTGTAGACGCCGTAGCGGCGGTATTTGGAAGCGACCAGGCTGTGGGATAAAGGAAAAGGGTGAAAAAAGGCAGGCACTAAGAACATTGGTTTGCACTACACGTAGTGTGCGCTATGGGCGCTTAATATGCACTAACAGCGTTGCCATTGCGTCACTACCTCCACCACTAGTCACTCACACAGGCACAAGCCCGGCATGCCAGTCGTTGGCCACAAACACCACCTTCTCCCCGTACTTGAATTTCTTTCAGGCAATCAGACCACTCAGCATGCACTATTCCCACTCACACAGGCACAAGTCCGGCATGCCAGTCGTTGGCCACAAACACCACCTTCTCCCCGTACTTGAATTTCTTTCAGGCAATCAGACCACTCAGCATGCACTATTCCCACTCACACAGGCACAAGTCCGGCATGCCAGTCGTTGGCCACAAACACCACCTTCTCCCCGTACGTGAATCCTCCAAACGGCAACTGCAGCGGTGCCTCACATGCCGCATGGCACAGCAGAGCGAACCGGAACTGTAGCAGGGTGGGGAATGGGAAGGGAGGAAAGGTCGGGGAAGGTGGAAGTGAGTGAAAAGTGAGGAGCGGAATGAGGAGTGGAGTGTGGAGTGAGGTGTGGAGTGTGGAGTGAGGCGTGGAGTGAGGTATGGAGTTTGGAGTGAGGTGAGGGGTGAGGTGTGGAGTGTGGAGTGAGCTGTGGAGTGTGGAGTGGAGTGAGGTTTGGGGTGAGAGTTAAGATAGGGTAAACGATGTTTGGGTACGGGCGAGGAGAGTTAAGAGGAGAAAAACATGACTTGTGCGCCTACCCTGAGATTCTCCCATCCCATCCCAACGCAACCAACCACACCCATCCCACCTCACTGCGCCAAAACATTAGAAACACCTCACCGCTCTCCACCGCACACCACACCTCGGCCTCACCTGGTTGTCGCCGAACGCCCCTCTGGAGTCGCCATAGGGCGTGCCTGGGCGGTGATACGACGGGTGGTCCACAAACACCTGCAGTGTTGCCACGTGGCACAAGGGGAGTCGAAAACAGGGGCCAATTTCTCGTCATTCAGGTTGCTCGGCGCGAGAGAGCGTCAGGACGTCCAGATAACTCGAGTCCTGAGACCTGTCAAGGCCACCTCTACTGTGCTAGTCTGAAAAGCCCTAGAACTCTATTCTTCAAGTTTCAAAACCAGTAAAAGACAGCACCACAGCGGCACCTCAAGAATGCCCACCCAAAAAACAACCCACCTGAAAAACGCCCCGCCAAAGAACCGCCCAACCCCAAATCGCCCCACCGCCAGACACGCCCACGTCGGTCACCCAGCCATAAAACAGCCACCCCATCTACAGACTCACGAAGTCAACACCGTCGCGGAACTCGTGGAAGAAGGCCACCTCGTGCTCCTCTTGGGGACTCAGACCCGAACGTACACCCTCCCTCACAGGGCACACCCGCACAGCGCACACCCTCACATCGCACACCCAATGGCGACCCAGGAACTCCCAACCCCATCTAGAGACTCACGAAGTCAACTCCATCGCGGAACTCGTGGAAGAAGGCCACCTCGTGCTCGCCTTCGAAGAGGAAGCACTTGATGCGGCACTGATGGTAAGCATGGGGGTGCAAAGGGGTGGAAATGGGTGGAGACGGGTGGAGATGGGTGGAGACGGGTGAAGAAGGGAACCTCGGAGACTAATCGCATGATACGGCACTCTTGGCACAAACATGGGCTAATGAACGGGTGTAGAGGGATGGAGAGGGATGAAGAAGGGTGAAGCGAAGAGCTTGTTGTCGGTGACGTCTATATTTACATTAAAGCCATTCACTCATTCGTTCAAACTAATACTCGCTGTGCATACACGTGGTTACAGTGTTACCTGACAATCGAATGCGCCAGCACAAAGCTTGTCCGTGACGCCATTCATGTAAGATGACGCCATTCATTATATTAACTTAATCGTCCAGTCATACAAATATTAGCTGTTCATGAAGCTGGTTACACGTTACCTGGCAATCGAACGCGCCAGCATAAAGCTTGTCCGTGACGCCGTTCATGTACCGAGGCGCCACCACCATCACACGGTGGCCACGTGCCGCCAGAGCCAATGGGAGCGAGCCTGTGACGTCAGCAAGGCCTCCTGTCTTGGAGTAGGGTGCCACCTCGGATGCCACGAAGACAATGCTGATTGGTTGAACGCGGAGAGAGGAGGAGGGGGAATGTGGGAGGTGAAGGGGGGAAAGGGGGGTGGAGGGGTAAGCGGAGTGAGGATGAGAATGCGGGAGAGAGAAGAAAGATGTGTGTGTTGGAGCGGGGGGAGGGGGAAGTGGGGTGGTGGTGTGCGGAAAAGAAATGCAGCTGAACAATACGAAACGGAGACTGGCTGCCAAGGAATTTTCCTTATATTACCCTGAAAGAAATACGAGATATATAAAAGAAGAGAAATGCGGTAAGGTGTATGGATGCTACTGTTTGTACGGTTAACAAATCAAAAGGCACGGGCATTGATATTACCCCTGATGCGCTCATTCATTGGTTAAATAGAAGTCTTTAATTTGACAAGCTCCAATAGTATTTTTCAACTCAGATAATAAATCTAACCATACGAGCCCGCACACCTCCTGCATTTCGCCATCAGCCTTTCCCCTCACCTCATGGGGTTCTCAGTCTTCTTGATCGGCGCATCGCTCCCCTCCGCCGCGTTCTTGGCGCTCTCCCTGTCCCTCTCCAGCTCCGCGTTCCGCTGCGATGCCGTCGCTAAATCGCCCGGCGATTCTGCGGCGGCGACGGAAAGGAGAGATTCGAGGAAAGATGGAGAGTAACACGAGGGAGCAAGGAAGGCAGCGTAAGGGATTAACGCCGGTATTGAGAGGGATGAGGGATGATAATGCGAGGGCGGAAAGACTTTGATACAAGTGAGCAAGGACGACACGAGAGGAGACTTTGGTGAAAAAGAGCCTAGATCCAATGCAGCCTAATGTAATTATTACGGTCTTATTCCTTGCTTCAGTCATAAACGTATTGACGTGCAAACCTACCGGCGGAAGCGGCGGCTGGCGTAGTCTTCTCTTCAGCAGGAGCAGCAGGCGATGGCGACGGGGGAGGAGGCGCCACAGCAGGAGCAGCAGCCGTCGCAGGCGTCGCAGACGTCGCAGCGATCACCGCTGCGACGTCTGGTGGCGGAGCAGACGGAGCCACAGCACCCGCCCTTGGCCGGGTGACGTCAACCCCCGCCTTGCGCTCCCCAGCAGCGTGCGCCGCTTGCGCCGTCGCCAACGCCGTCGCCTCCTCGACCCTCCTCTTGAGCTCCGCATTCTCCTCCGCGATTCGCTTCAGCGTCGCCTCGAGATCTTCCGGATCCGTCGACACGAGGACGTAATCTTCGGGGTAGTCGTTCGCTACGGTCCACGGTCCCGCATCCTCGTTTTGACCGGCCGACGGGGGAGGCTGCGCTGATGCTTTTACGGAGAAGGGTCTCGAGTTCTGACGGTTGGTTCTGGAGCTGGAGGCGAAGGATGCGGAGCGAGAGTAGTTGCGTGCGACGTGCGCCGGCTTGGCGACGACCGAACGAAGTTGTGACGAGATAGAAACGCTCGCAGCGTTCGCTAACGACGCCATGCTTAACCGATTCACGATCGGCTATTCGCTGATTAAGGAGGAAAGTTTGTCCTCTTTATCTCAAAAGAGCATGAAACTCAGCGAATAAAACTCGTCGCCGAGTAAGCGTTAATGCAGCTGCGCAGCGCCGTACAAACAAGAGCAAACCAGCAGACTGCACACTGACTAGATTTTGCTATGATAACTCAGTACAGTCAAAACACAGAATGCTGCTAGATGGGGACAGGGGGAGGGACGGAAATTCGTGAGGCCAGGGAACTTCCCTAGAGATTTGCGAGGCGCTCTGACTCAGCGCCAAGGGAACTGCACTGAAGTCAGAACTCTCCTGCCAGAATCTCGAGCTTATCGCCTGGCGTTTCATTGGCTCATTGCTGTGTGTGGTGGTGGGGTTGAAGGAACTCTCGGGATATTTCGTGCGGTGCGCGACGGGAACTTGTGGTCTCCAGGCGATGGCCATCGAATCCTGGAGATCAATCATACGATGGTTGACACGTTGGAAAAATCGGCCCACCTGGCAACTTCAAAAGTCCACGTCTGGGCACCACCTTGAAGGCAAAGTCGCCTGTGGGTCCAAAGGTCGCTGAGATCAAATTCGGGGTGAAACCTGTGGCGAAAACACGGCCACATCGACATTCCCAAAATGCCTTAACCTTGATTACAAGTAGAAGACAAAGGTACCTAAATAAAAAGATGATCCAGATTTGGGCCAACGAAGTCAGAGCATCAAGAATTAGCACTTCTTGACAATATACATGATAATCTTCTGTACATGCGATTAACTACAGCTGCAGTCTAAGCTCTGGCTCAGAAGCAACTGACATAGATTGAAACTGCCCAGACTGGTCATCATGCTGTTCCTTCTGCTGCTGCTCCCAGACTGGCATTTGCTTATTGGCTTGAAGCTCTGCAAGCTCTTTGTTTTTCTGGGCCTGAGCCAGTAGTTGGAATGCCTGTTGGTGGTCCTGTGTTGCAAGCCAGCCCTGTGGAAACCGGTTGTCTGGAGTGCTCTGCTGTGAGGCACGTTGTTGCTGCTGGTTCTGCTGCTGCTGAGCACCATTCTGGGTAGGCTGCTTCCGCAACAGAGATGCTTGATGTTGCCTGAGTAGCAGTTGCTGCCGCTGTTGCTGCAAACGTTGCTGCTGCTGCTGTTGCTGTTGATGCAGCAGTTGCTGCTGCTGCTCCTGCCTCTGCTGCTGCAATCGCTGCTGCTGCTGCAAAAGCAACAGTTGCTTTTGCCTCTGCTGCTGATGCTGCTGCTCAGCTAGCTTCAGTTGCTGCTGCTGCTGTCGCTGCTGTTGAAGACTCGGTGGAGACCGTGGATCTAACGGCTTCGCCATGGCACTCATCATGCTTGCCATGTTGGCAAATGAACCATTTGTGGCAGACATGTTACCATCAGCGCCGGATAAACCAGCAGATGCAGAGGCAGAAGCATGGTTCGATGCAGCTGCAGCTGCTGCACTGAATGCAGCAGACGAGAACGACGCCGCAGTCGAATTGCTGAGAAGACCATGGTGAGCCTTCAGTTTATCCAGGGCTGCCATCATGCTCCGAGCAGCTGAAGAGGAACCAGGTCTCAATGAGGATGTCAATGGGTTAGTCCCTTGTTGCTGCTGCAGAACGTCAGCCAGAGTTGAATGCTGCACAGAACCAGCGGTGGATGCAGGCGCACGAGCATTAAGGGACCCATATGAAGATGCATTCAAAGCCTGCTGCTGCTGGGATGAGAATTCAGCAAGCCATGCATTCCCTGGAAGACCACCCGGCCATGAACCTTGTGACACAGAGGCAGCGAGGGTTTGTGCAGCTTGGCTAGAGGTTGCTAAGGCTTGGGCCCCGCTGCCATCTCCCACAGGGGCAGCCTTGCTTGAGTTGAGCGGGCTCCCAAGAAGACCATCAAGCTTTCCAGCCTCAAGAGCCGCCCAGAGGGGGCTATTCTTGAAGCCATTCTGAGGAAATGCTGCATGATTTCCCTCCACCATTTTCATTAGATGGTCAGCAGCGTTCTTGTCTCCAAGGTCAGAAGATGAGGTTGAACCAGCTCTTGCTGGGGATGACAACCCACCAAGCCGTTGCAGCGAACTCAAACCTTGCTTTCCAAAAGCGGCTGCAGCGATCGCAGGAGCACCAGGTGATGAGGTGGACGCATTCTGAGACCACAAGGCATTCAACGCTCCCATAAGGGCAGAACCAAGGGGCTTTGTGGGAGTTTCGACATCAGCAGAGCCTTGAGGTGCATGCATGAGCGACTGCAGAGCCTGAGCAGAGAGGACTGACTGGCCCTGTCTGGCAGAGTTCGCAGCCTGCAGAGCAGCAATAGCTGAAGCACGCATTGCGAGAACGCTGTTGCGATCAACTTGATCAGAAGCACCTGCGCATGAATTCAGCAGCGTCTGGATCGCCGCATTGCTCAGGCTAAGAGACCCAGCTTCAGAGGGGCTTCCTGCAGAGACCCCACCTGGCCCACTAAATGCCTCCTGTGCAGATGCCGGTGAAACTACAGCCGCTGTAGGTGGAGGCGAAGAGAATCCTGCTCCAGGTCTGCTTGCATCGTTAAACCAGTGTGGCATGTGGAGCATGCCTGACGATCGACCAATGACTTTGGGCCCATGGACAGACTCTGATGTTGAAGATACAGGAGCTCCATCACTAACAGATTTTGAATGGGCGGTCTCAATGGGAGCTGCCCCAGCTGCTTCAGAACAAACCTGCAACTTAGTCAGTGATCCAGGATGTGGAGAGGCAGACTTCCTCAGACCTTTGGCGGGCCTTGCAGAAGTCTTAGCTGCTGTCCTCACAGGTTGCTTTGAGGCTTGCTTTACATCATCCACGGAGACGTCAAGGACCCCCTCCTTCTGGCCTCTCAACGCACTCCTCGCCGACTCGCCCTCCAGATTCAATGACTGCAATGACTGCAAGGGGTCATCCTGGCCGATCCATCCTCTACCAAAAGGAACTTCCGGAGGGAGGGTCTGCTTGACTTTCTCTGCAGCGACTTCCCAAACCAACGAGCCAAGGGGCGACGCAAATCGGGCTAAGCTATGGGCGTAAGCAAGAGGGTGCTGATCCACCTGCAAATTTCGGGAACGACCATCGATTAGTTTCAACAGGCAATGAGTGAAAACGACAAGTGAGAACGAAATCAAAGTGCTTACAGAATAGGACAGGGAGAAGCTCTCGGGGACTAAACTTCTGCTTGTCTGACAAGACCTTGACTGTCTCCAGGAGCGGAAAGACAGGTGCTTCCCGCCACTTGGGGATGTTGCTCTACGGCAGACTTTGTAGTTCTTCAACCGGGACACTGAAAAAGCAAGTGCAGAAAGCGTTAGCAGCATGAATCGAACCACCCCAGAATTCAACAGGAAATAGCAACTCCAACTGACCTTTGTTTCCAGAATCATCGCCTCCTAGGTAACTTGATCTCGGCTGGCTCTGGCTAGGTTCCCCTTTCTCCGTGATTTTCCCCAATATCCCCTGTGCAGGCTTAGACTGCGGAATGTCCTCTGACAGTGATACCTCCGATCGCTCGTCCATCCCAAACACCAAACGATCTTGCTTGTCATCCACCAACGGAACGGCCTCCTTTCTCTGGCCCAGAAATCGTCGACCTTCAAGGGGGAAACAAACAGACGTCAGCAGACAGCCTCAAAGGAAGAAGAAACTGTAAAGTGCAAACTACAGTAAGCATACCGGCCTGAGTGTCCTTCTGCGCAGGATCAGATAGAGGGATTCTTTTTGGACGACCGGGTTGACCTCTTCCCCTTCCACGACCTCGAAATCCCCTTCCAAAACCAGATCTTGGGTAAAGTTCGTTGGAACCTGCTGCTGGGAAAATCTTCTGAGCAATTCCTTGCATAGCCTTAGCCTGCTTGTAATAAATGGTCCCCTCGGCGTTATAGATCATGGCATTCTTCCAGATCAACGACACGTCATCCTGAAAGAAGGAAACACGAGACGGTGGATACAAGCATACAACCTCACCTAGAAGTCGCCTATCCAACAACAATAAAACGACGGGATCTCTACACAAGTACCTCGAATTGGTCCCATGACGTATAAAGTTTCTTCGCAACCCTTTCCCTCACTGTGCTGAAATCCATGGGGTGAGAAATGACGTCAAAATAGTCCGGAACCTGTATGGAAGGAAAATGTTTCGTAGTATAGAAAAAACCTGAAATTTCAGTGAAACAAAGAACATAACCAGTTAACAAAACCGAACCGAACAAAACAAGCTCATATTGTACCTCAACAGGATTCACTGGAACAGAGAACACGCCGTACAAGTCCTTCCTGCAACAAAAGAGCGATGGGGGGTTCCTTGAGACACACGATAACAAAGGCCTCGTAGTTCCAGATGAAGAAAAACCGTAAACTGGACTGTCGCAAACCACTCACTTTTGCAGTTTGTCCAAAACCTCACAGAGCGCTTTCTCTGGCAGCGGTTTCTTTCCGTCTGTTTCACAAGTGAAAACTCCGGAAGTCAGCAAATTTTTCCACACAAAAAATTGCAGAAGCATGCTGCAACTGAACACGAAATACCTTTGAGTGGCAAGGAAGATTTATTTTCATTGCCTGAAAATGTCTGCCCTGACGGTCTCGAGTCCGTTATTCCGCTGTCCGAGAACTGCATTTATCACGAAAATCCATCAACACCCGAACACGCACAAGGAAAGAGGCTCAGAATCTAATGAAGTGAAGCTGACCTGTCGCTTTCGCTTTGACGAAAAAACTGGATGCGCTACCGTTTCATCAGCAGGTGGTGATGCCCCTTTTGAATCAGGTTTTGGCGGCGACGGGATTACTAGACTATGCTCTTCGCTTATAGCCTTCGTTCGTTGTCTCTTGGGATTGGGGACTGAGGGGTCTGTGGAAATCTCCTGCGTCTTCCAAGTCCGTGACGGAGAGGCCTCCAAGGAAGATCGCTTGTGTATTTTCAAAACAACTCGAAGATGGTTGTCATCCATGGTCGATTAAGATGTCGCATATACGACGCCGATGTGCTGCCCAAAAACACCACATGCGTGCATGTAACCCAAACATAGGATCAACGGGAGTTGTTGACACGAGAAACATCATTTCCATGGCGACCAACTAGCATGAGGAACCCTAGAAACGCGTATATCTGGCTGGAAAATCAGATGCGCCCTCGGAAGTGGAGGATAATGCACGGATCACCGAAACGCCCAGAACTCGGTTTCTTATAAGAACGGAAACAAGCCGCACGTTCAAACGACCTCCGACGGCTCCCTATCCAGAACGACCCACAAGGAAGAGACCAGACAAGGAAGACAGACTGCATGGCGTAGTCAAAAGGTACAGCGGATAGGGCTATGGTGCGGTGGTGGTGTGCGTACCAGGCGTGATTCGCGCCAACGCTGGGGAGGGGAGATGGGGAGGAACGGACGGACGGAGGGACGCTGGTTGAGGGTAAAGGGACGCTGGCTCGAAAGGCCCCACTTGGGTGGGTCTTGGAGTTTCGTGCTTGGTGAGGTCGAAACCCTAGCTGGTTCGTTTTCTCTGCCCGCGATTCGTTACAGTGTTTTGACGTCCATCGGGGGATGAGGAAACAGTTTATCGGACGTCAGCTTGGTTGGTTGGCATGTGAGGTAACTTGTGAATTCTCCCACATGCAGCCACCCAGTGTCAGGACATGTGTAAACCAACGAGTGGATGCGTAATCAGAATGTCCAATCGGAAGCAAAGACACCACGTCCTGCTGGGCACGCATCGCTGGATAGTGGGAAACTCGAGACAGCTACAGCAACCCAAAACGTCATCCCCAAAACTCCTAGGCATCCGAAGGCCCGTCTCTGTTTGGCTCTCCTGCTAAAAAAACATATTTTCCCTGCCCGGCCAACTTTACCATATCCACCGCCCGCTTCAAGGGTCTCTCTCGTCAGTTGCTCTGTCATCTTGGCACTTCTTCCGTCCGCTGCCCCCTCCCATCCGGCCTCGTTCATCTCCACTCGTCCCTTCACTGTGGGTGCTGTTGGTCAGCCAGTTCCGTTTTCCGTTCTGACCCAAACGGTAACGCCCCAGCAATGACTGACGGACGGAAGCGATTGACTGTTTCGTTGTGTTCTGCGCTCACCACACAAGTCGCTATCATTGAACGAACCAGCCAATAGCAGCAGCTCTGTGTGGGTCCGTGTCGCCTGGCTGCAACTCCGAGTCGCCCGATATTCCAAACCAGCAAGCACCCTTTCCGAGAATGTGGAACACGTGCATAAATGTTTCTTCTCGACACTATCTACGTTGTATTTGTGGCTAGCAATTGCTCAAGCTTGCTTTTGCTTGTGTTTTACGATTTCGAGGGACCAGAAAATAGAACTTCTAGGTAGCTATTCCACGCTTGTGTTGATTCTCCCAGGTTCGAGCTTCACGACGTAACTTATAGTAGGTTGTAGTTAGCTGCTATGGGTTGCTCGTTCTCAAAGCCCGCAGTGAAAGACGATTTGAGCACGAAGCACGTCACACGGTCTACGTCGTCGAAGAAACCGAAGCCACTCTCAAATGCAATACCTTCCGACACGCCTGGTTGCTTGAATTTCCCAATTCACGTGGCACCGAAAGTGCAACCTAAGCCAGGTGAACAGCCACGAATAAGAGCGGACATATTTTCTCAGTGCTTGTGCTCAGGCGCGGGGGCTTTGAAAGTAGACGAAAGCGATGTCACTGAGGAGCAGGAGGCCAATGATAAGGCGAATCATGAGGTTAAGGAGAAGGAGAATGAGAATGAGAAGCCGTCGCCAGCCGGAGTGAAGACAGCTGCGAACGATTTAACCTTAGCTGCAGCAGCCGACCGTTCAACCGAAGCAGATGCGTGCGACGCCGCTGTATCGGTAGCTAAACCATCCACTGCGCAGGAAGTTGACAAATGTGCTTCCTCGGCTGCTGAAGAGCAAACTCTATTGGCTCTGTGTCCCGATAACGATAATGTGGAAAATTCAGTAGCAGTGGCGAAAGCCCACGACATCAATGGTGAAGCTGAGCCTAGGGCAGACCCTCGATGCCAAACGAGCGAGGCGGTCACTGAAGGAAGCGGGATGACGAGTTTAGAGTCATGCGGTGAGGCCAATTTGGCCACACGTGAAGCAGAAACGGCTGCACCTGACGCAAGTTCAGCTGCACCTGAAGTAGATTCGTCTGGACGTGAGGCAGATTCGGCTGGAGGTGAGACAGATTCAGCTGCACGTGAGCCGTTTAAGAAGCATCGGAAGCTGAGCGTTGAGCTGCCTCCTCTGGTGACGGACGAGGATGTGATGCCGGACAGCAATGACGTGGCTGAGCTGATTGACGTGCAGACGATCATGATGGACCTGGAGGATGACGAGGAAGAGGAAGAGGGAGAGGAGGGTGAAGAGGAGGAAGAGGAGGAGGAAGAGGAGGAAAAACGTCCGCAGCCGCAGCCACAGCAGCAGCAGCAGCAGCAGCAGGCGCAGAAGTTACAGCAGCACGAGGAGCAGGAGGAGCAGCAGCAGCACCGACCGCTGCAGCAGGAAGAACAAGAGCAGCAAAGACATCAAAACGAAGACAGGGTTGGTGAGGCGTCGGAGGCTGAGCAGGGAAATGCTGAACAGAGAACTTTAGATGATCTCAGTATGACCAGTACTCCTCATGCTGGAGACCATCCCTCAGGGGCGGCAACTATACCCCATGTTGGCGCTTCCGAAGCTGATGCCACGAGCATTTCCACATCCGTTGACCGTGATGCTCCTAGTGTGGCGGAGAAGACAATGACGGGTGTACATTCTGGGAGAATTGACGACGAGGAGGTGGAGGACCTGCTGAGAATGCTGGAGGGAGAGGCAGGAGTCTTAGCAGTAGATGCGCTGCCTGGTGGTGGGCTTGACAATGCTGATAGGGTTGAAGGAACTGAACGAACTGACAAGCCTGACAGGGCTGTGGAAACTGACTCTTGTGAAACAGTTAAGGTTGACACTGTGAGTACGGACTTGGCCGTCCAACCAGACCACATGGGACTAACGGGGAGCGAATGGGGGGAGCTGGGGAGCAGCGGGCAGGCAACAGAGGAAGGGAGAGACAGCAGCAAAGAGCGGGCGGGGGCGGGGGAATGGGGAGGGCTGGACTCAATGTTTGACCCGGATGTGCTGGCGAGCTTTGAGGAGGACCTGAGGAGGGAGTGGGAGTACAGAGTCTCGTTGGCGGAGCTGGTGGGGCAGGAGGAGGAGGAGCTGGGTAGAGAGGTGCTGCAGCAGCAGATGGGTGCAGGTGAAGAGCAGAATGAGCAGCCTGACCAGGAGGCACGGTCACGGCAGAGTGGGGAGGAGGAGGAGAAAAGGCAAATGCAGCAGCAGCAGGAGAAGGAGCAGCAGGAGGAGCGACGGCTGGAGTCAGCAAGAACAAATCCTGCTGTTCGGGTTCCAAAGAGATCAATATCAGGCATGAGCGTGAATTCAGATGGAGGTTTCATCATTGATGGGTTCGAGGACTTCCTCATGGAAGCAGAGGAAGAAGAGGCAGCTTTTCTGCAACAGCAGCAGCATGGTGCTAAATCGGACAACGATCAAGCGCCAGCACAGGTCCATCAATCTCCCAGGGTGCGAGTTGAAGCAGACGATGGGTTGGGTGATGCGCAGGGAGTGGGGTTTGAGGATGATTCTCTGTTTGATCCAGAGCTCCTAGCCACCATGGAGGCGGTTTTCCACAGGCATGATCCAGCTGACTGGTGCCGCCTCACCCCCTTGTCCAGCCCCATGCGCCACGGACCCAACTCCCCCGCACCCAACTCCCCCGCACCCCACTCCCCTGCACCCAACTCGCCGGGAGCTTCCCTCTTTGCTCCTGGTTCTCCTGCTGCTGCAGTCGATGCCGTGGCTGCTGCTGTGGGCAGGATGAGAATTCCGGCTCGGGCAGGGCAGAGTCCTCGGCGGGGCAAGCCGCCGTTGCAGAGTCCGAGGGCTCGGCTGACCAGCCCCCGGCCCCAGGCTCCTAGCCCACGCAGGTCCTTCAGCAGCATGAGTCCTCGCAGGGGGGTGATGGGTGAGACCGCTCGCAGGGTATCGACGGGTGAGATTCCTCACAGTGCTGCTGGGAGGGATGGGCAAAGGGCAGGGAGTGTTGGAGGTTCGGGCCGCGGCTGGTTGACTCCAGGCCTGGTGAAGTCTGGGAGTGGAGGTGTGGTGGGCTTGGCCGGTATGGTGACTTCCGAAGGGAGTAAAACGGAAGTTTCTGGGCGTGGTTTGGAACAGGCAGGAGAAAAAGATACAGGCGGTTTGGGAAGGGTTATGGATGGTCAGACAGCAGCCCCATCTGAGATGCTTGGTTCAGAAGATCTAGGCGTCCATGAGAGAGTCAATCCGAGCCAAGGCAGCGTTTCTAGGGCCCATGAGCCAAGTGCTGGGTGCTCTGCTGAGGCTGGTTCAAGGGCTGAGGGAGCAGGAGCTGAAGCACGTGATGTGGCAAGAACTGGCAGTAGAGACGCGGTTCCTGCTCCGGTGGAAGGGGCGCGCTTGAGACAGTATGGTGGCTCTGAGTTGGTGGCTGAAGCTGAGACTGCGTGTGCTGTTATGAGAGCACCAAATGGGAGTGGGAGGATGTTGCTGGAAAGCTTTCCAGTAAATTGTCCACCAGGAGGGGATGGGAAGGTTGTCTTGTACATGACAACGCTTCGAGCAGTGAGCCAAACTTTTGAAGATTGTATGCGAGTGCGACTTGTCCTCAGGGTGAGTAACATTTATTTTATTTCTCTTTTCTCCTCGTTTGCCCTTTCTTTCTAGTACCATACTCATTCTCCACCTTTCCCCCCCTCGTTGTTGCAGGCCCTTGGAGTAATGTTTGAGGAACGTGATGTGTCCATGCGGGTTCACTTTCGTCAAGAGTTGAAAACACTAATGGGAAGCGCATCTTTGTCAGTGCCGCACCTCTTTGTCTGTGGCCGCTATATTGGAGGAGCTGATGATGTTCTGCAGCTTCAAGAACAAGGCCTCCTTGTCTCGATCCTAGAAGGTCTTCCAGTCAACATGTCGCCGAGAAGCAGGTCTGCAAGTAGGTACTAATTTGTGTTTGTGTCCTGTTAACAGAATAATGGCTGGTTGCAGCCACTAATTGTGCATAATTTTCACACAATTTTGTGGGAGCAAAATAATATCTTCAGATTACACAAACCCAAACAGAAGCCTCTGCACCGCTCTCCCGCCGTTAGTTGTCAGAATTTCAGCTTCAAAGGTTTTGCCGCCATTTCGGTTCAGCCGACGCGACCGTCCATCCCAGTTTCCCCCCCTCTGCCTCTGATCTTCGCGCTGCAACCATTGAGCGCTCTGCCCCTGCCAATTCCAATGTCGACAGAGCAATTCGTCTTTCCCTGCCTGGCCGTTGAAGAATCCTTCCAAGGAACCTGTGACGATGAATGGGAGAGATATGACTACCGCCCAGCCAGGCGTGACCTTGGTATTGTCGAATGGTCGCTTGCGCCTCGGCCAAGCATCCCCTTTTATTTTCCTGGTTCTATCAGCTCCGAGGGCTCCAGACGTAATAGCACGTCAGGAGAGGCCAGCGCCCTTCTTAGGCGAACTGAGACCCACACACGTTAGATTGCAATCTTATTTATGTTCCTTCTAGCATGGTTCCTGCAATATCCGCTGTCACGCAGACAAAAGCATAGTTTTACATATCACGGAAAGCTGGATTCTCCTGACATGAATGCGCGAGATGGTGTTGGCTCGCTCAATCATAGAGCAGTTGGCACCACAGAGCGCGACCTTGGAACTGACGCTTACGACGATAGTCCGACCTCGTTATTAGATATCCTAAGCTTGCGCTGGCGAATGTTCCTTATGTTCCCTGGTAGCTGGCTGGGTATTAGTGAGACTCCTTTCCTGCATCTTAAGAAACAGCTGTCGGAGATGTCAGAGCACTCACCGCTTTATCCAAAGCGGCTGTCTTTCACTCATGATATGTCACAAAGCCCGCGAAGCATCAGTCAATGGATGAGCTCGCCGTCGAATCAGTCGCTTTTGTGGGCTATTCTCGTTAGCTTCCTTCTCTTCTCCATCGCCTTCATTGTATTCCATCCCCATCCCGATGCTGACAAGCTATCTCGCGAGCCGAGAACCATCGAAATCATGGTATGACTGCCATCTTATGGCGTGATTCCCACTTCTACTCTTCCTCACGCCACGTTGTTGATGGCTATGCTTGCTAACTCGCTCTTCTCTTTTATTGCAGAATGTGGATCTTTCATCGAACAGGAAGTTCCGTGCCGCTCGCATAAGCTATGACGCTTCTCAGGTGAGACAAGTCAGTGTACCGGCGTGTGACTTTTGCTAATCAATGGGTCGCGGTTCCAAGACTGCCCTCCTTCTCAACGTACACCGTCGCTTGCCACGTGTACAGGCATGGACTATTGTAGAAGGTCAGCTGACGGCCATACTTGAAGAACACTCCCCTGACGATGATCCGGTGGCCTTAGAGGCCCAACAGTTTCAGGCAATCGCCAGTATGACGGAGGAATGAAGATGGAAGGAGAAACAATAAGAACGGACACTGATTTTGTGGCCTCGACTGTGCGAGGCATTAACTAATTAGCTGTCAGTGCTCCTGACATGCGCTGTCTGACACCTTTAGAAAACTGTATGGTCACACTAAGAATGACCATTCGGGGGACTTCCTGTTGTGTTCACTTTTTGTGTTGTGATCCTCCTACCGTATAAGCACTGTGATGTCCATCAGTAAAAACACCTGGCCATGCTAGCCATGTTGCTCCCGTGTGCCTAAGTTTGGCAGGATCCAGCCAGTTATGGGCGCTCGTGTAACAAAGAATATGGCTAAGCTTCAATGGCGCCTGACACGCCGTCACACGACCTGGCATCAGTATGGTTGCAGGAGTGATGGTGGAAGAGAAGTGCCCATCTATCACCATGCTGGGAGCCCCTACATTTGAGACCACCACCCTATAAGGAAGCATTGGACTCCTCGACGACCCAATCACGGGTAGACCCACCACTGCAACGGGTATGGGTGATTCCTGATGGACCTTAAAGACATAACATTACCTAAACCAGGAAATAGTATGGACTGCATACGTGGAACTTGTGGGATAGTCATGCTGCGTGCATCTCACTTCTAGTTCTAAACACGACATTGCTGGCCTGGATCGGAACATCCCTATGGTATTACCCAGGACTTCACAAGAATAATTGCGCCTTCCAGTCTAAGTTGCGTTATGAAGCCCTACTATCTCGTTCAGAATTTGCAACCATTGTTTTGCATTTATTTGCACAAAGATTCACTCCAGAACACAAACAGGTACTGTTATGAGTTGTACTAAGAAGAGTGCGCGGAAGACTTTATAAAAAGGATGATGAATACAGAATGACGAGAATGATAATGAGGCGAGCATTTATAGGGTCGAAAACGTGCTAGGCGAGAACCTGTGATGTGCATGGCTCGGGAATGTCGCAATTGGTGCGGGGCGACTCGGGGCTGGTTCGGTACGAAAGTGTAGGCCGAGCCCAAACTGACGCGAACAGTTCGGGCTGTCCTCGCTAGGAGCAGCCTCTACAGTAATGAATTCATATTCATTACACTCTCCCACCTTCTAAATAAGGTGCCCTTATATGTAGGCGAGTCTTGCAGTAGCGTGAAAACTGCAGATCTCGGTCGAAAACCAATCTGACGGTGCGGAAGCGTGTTGACTTTCGAGTTGACGCGTGGCTGAGCGCGTTGACCAGGCGAAATTCAGAGTTGGAATGTCATCCGTTAAAATACCGCCGATGTCGATCGGGCGGTTGAAAGCGAATGTCGATTTGAATTCTTTCGACGAAAGAGAGTAGTCGATGCTGATGAAGACATCGCGTGCGTCCGTCGTGCTGGGTGTGTCAGACGATCTGTCAGAAATAACTGCCGAAATGTCAGAGACCTGCCGAGAACAGTGCGTGAGCACTCTTTCTCCCCCCCCTGAAACTGCTGCCCACCGATATGTGCACAGCTGCGCGGGCACAAAACCACAACCACCCTGACGCCGAGGGTAGAACGAAATACCAAGTGTTATAAACTCCCGCCTGAAACTCAGCCGCTGTGCTGTCGAAACTGTTGTCGGTGGCGCCAATAAAAATAATCGTGACTCGTATTGCTCCCAGGGTAAATCGCGTCAACGTCCCTGAGGAGGGTAGGATCATTCGGTGCTGGGGCAGGACTCTCTGGGAAATACATTTCCCTGATGAAAAACTTCTCGTTGTCGTGTAGTCGCGACTGCTGCGGCAGAATTTCCAGCAGCTGCCACACCAAATCGCCGCGTGTGCTGCCGTATCTCCAGCTGGCGCCGATATTTACTGCTGCTGTCTTGTTGCCGTGGCTGCATTAACGCCTGACTGTTGCAGCATCCCCAGCTGGCAGCATCTGCCATCCGAATTTGCTGCTGATGTTCCGAAATTGTGTGAAAATCCTCGCTGCTGCTATTTCAGCTGTCAAAACCTCCGGCAGTCTTGTCCTGACTCGCCGAGGAAGTTGTCGCTTTTCTCCGAAAACTCTCGGGCAGGGGCGAAAACAGCTGCTGCACTTCCCCCTGACCGCCTGCAATATTTTTTCAAACTCGAACTTGTACTGCCGATGACGTCAGCTGCAATGTCGGCGTTGTCGTGACTCGCCGAGGACTTCGGGGCAGAGGCGAAAAAAGCTGTCCTTCCTCCCCCCGCCTGTTGCGATAGTTGTCACCTGTGTTGCGGCTGGTACCCCTGAAATTCCACCGATTTTGCCGCCAAGACTTTCTCCACGGCCGTTTTCGCGCGCTTATCCCAGCGCCACTGCGACTCCGCCGTTGTCACGAAATTGTCGGCCGTCACCGCCGAACTCATGTTAAAACCGATATTCGGTACCCCCCGTAAATGTCGGTGTCGAAAACACTTGTACGTCTTGGTCATCTGCAGGTTGTTCCCTTGGGCGATGCTGAACGGGCCTGGGGGGGGGGGGGGGGGGGCACCACCTCCTTTTCTTTGTGGAAGGTGGCCTCGCTCCGCATTTTCGGCATCTCTTTTAGATTTTCAAACATTGACAGCTCTGCGCCTCCCCTCTCTCCTACCAGAGCCGTCCGCCTCTTTTCTTAGTCGACAGATATGGAGCCGATCTCCGCCGCCGATAAGTCGGCGCCGACATCGGCCGACTTTCCCCTTCGGGTGCAAATGGGTCGCGGTCTCAGCTTCACCTTAGAGTGGAACGACTACGCCGTCCTTCGCGACCAAAAGAAAGAGTTCACCGAGAGATGCTTTGGACTCGCCATCAGGTGGGACGCGGGTAGTCGCGGTAGTCGAATAGGGAAGATGTCGGTGCCGACCAACCCTAGTAGGGCGCACTGTCGCCGATTGTCTTCCGACGTACGTCGGCGGGCGCGTTTGACGAAGCACGTCGACATGGCAGCGTTTGCTTACCAGCCATGTTCTCATCCCTCGTGCTCACTCGTGCGCTCAGGTTCGCTTGGTTTGACATTGGGCGGGACGACCTGCGGTTGTGGGTGCTCGGGATCGGCCCGCTTCGATCGGCCATGAAAGCCGCCGACCATTCTTGCTTTGCTAAGGCTTTCGACGCCGACATCGCCGCTATCCCGCTGAAATCGACGTGAGCTGTTACCCCGTTGTCCAGTCATCGTTTTTCAGTGTCGGCCGCATCAACGCCTTATGCTGTGGTCGACGCCGTCGTTTATTGCGTGTGCAGCGGCGGCCCGCTTCCAGGGTCACACTGCAGCGTCATAGCCATCCTCTACCCAGGAGATGTGCTGAAGGCTGAGGGACAGGTCTGCAGGACATCGATCCGGCACATCGACCCGCACACCGGAAAAGGGAAGCACCGCGACGAGGCCGTCCGCGTCCTGAAGTAAGTTGTGAATAGTCGTCGCTGTCGAGTTTGTTAGTCGCCGACACAGGGAATCTCATGCTGACCTCCTCTCCACTACGTTGCTCCAGGCTATTCCGCACGGCTGCCCTGGCCGAGCTGGGGCGTCCCGGTAGGAAGTGGGACGGGGCGCCGCCATCACAAGCAGTGGTGGAGGAAAGGCTTGCCGACTGCGACGACCCTATCCGCGACGTGAGTTGCACGTTTAGGCTCCGCTACGGTCTGCGCGTATCTGTATGCACCGCTCATATTGTGCCGCGCTTGCCTGTGTTGTATGCAGAAAGTGCCGGGCACAGTGTCGGACGGGCATGTCGGCACCGGCATGCTTGCCGCGACGTCGTTCGGGTGGGTGGCCAAGCAGATCGGCCTGCTGACGGGCGACAAGGCTCGGAGCGCTGTGAGCATCGAGAACATCAAGGTCGCGGGTTTGAGGTCGCTCCGTGATAGCATGGTCGATTACATCTGCCATCGTGTCGCCGAAAACCGGATAGCGGCGCCGACTTCAGGCGCCGACGGACCCGCCGAGGGTGCGATTGATGACGACGGCGCGGAAAGTCAGACGGCGCCCCAAGCAGCAGCTGCCGCCCAGCGCCAGGAGGACTTGCCGGTGTCCGCGGAAGGAGGAACCGGTGGAGGACTAGGCGACGATGCGGCAGGCGCAGGGAGGAAGGAAGAGGAGTTGACGGACTCTGGCTCAGAGTCGGAGTCGGAGGGGGAGGAGGAGGACGAAGGGGAGAAGGAGAATGAGGACGAGGAGGATGACGAGGGCAAGGACGAGAACGATGAGGTGGTGGAGGTGGTGGCCGGGAAGGATGAGGCGGCGCACGAGGAAGGGGTGGAGGAGGAGGTGGAGTACGAGCTGGAGTACGCAGACGGCACGGTTGAGGCGGTGGGGTCGGCGGACGAGAAGAACGAGGAAGCGGAGGATGGCGATGCGGGTAATGCTACGGGGTCGGCAGGTGAGGGGAAGGAAAAGGATGAGGTCGGCGTGGAGGCAACGACGGAAACGGGCCAGGAGGAGGCGGCATGCGAAGGTGCGAAGGTGTCGGTCGACGCCGGCGAAGGTGCGAACATCGCGGGCGTGCAGGAGACGGGGGACGCATCTGGTCGGCAGGGCCCTGCAACGGACGACGTCGAGGAGCTGCGACGGGAGAACTTGCTGTTGAGGGCGGAGAACGCTCGGCTGCAGGGTTTGCTCGATGCGGAACGGGCTCGGCTGGACGCGTTTTTTGTTGGGCTACGTGGACTCGTCGACCACCTGAAGGAGTTGGCCGAGCAGGTCGACGACACCGAGAAGTATGCGGCGGAACAGCTGCGAAACGCGGCGGAGGCCATGTCGCAGACCATCACGGGCAACATCACCGGCAGCTTCGACGAGGCGTGGAAGACGATGAAGACCTTCGCGGAACAGGCGTCGGCGTGGCTGGAGGACTTCGACAACCCGGAGGGAAATGTGGCGTATCAACGCGCCTTAGCGGTCACCACCTTGGCCGACCACGTCGACAAGGTGGTGGGCGATGCGCAGGAGGATTTGCGGGAGCACATCACGAGCCAGTTGTCAGCCACAGCTGTCAACATCGCCACAGCTGTGACCGGCAGGCTCCCCGTGCAGCCGCCGCCACCGCCTCAGC